GCTGTAATTACGGGAAAGCTTGGCGTACAGCAACGCGGGGTCCATTCGAATAGTCGGGGGACCCTTGTGTGGAGGTGCCACCGGCGCGAGCGAGTCTTCCAGGTCGACGAAGCTCGTGATGCTTGACTGCAGTAGCTGCGCGAAGGCGACATCCTTCTCCCTCACGCGCTGCACCTTCAAGTGCCACTGCGATAGCAGCACTGCGAACTGGACCGCGCGTCCAAAGAGAGACTTCGACTTGTGCACCCACTCTAAAGTCGAGAATCGTGTATAGACATGTAGCGTCTTTCCTGCCAGCTGGACGTAACAGATCTTCAACAGCAGAAGTAACGCCAAAATTTCCTCCTCAGCAGGATGGTAGTTCATCGCGGCCTCCTTGAGCACCCGACCGAGGAACCGTACGGGGTGTAACTTGCCTTCATGTTCTTGCATTAGCGTAGTGCTCAACGCCCATTCATTCGCAAAGAGCATGACGTGAACTGCTTTCGACCGATCGAAGTGCCTGAGGATGGGTGAATGTGAAACACTCGTCTTCAATTTTTCGAAGGAACGACGTGCCACAGAAAGGCCACCTTCAACGGCAAAGTCTTCATCCTTGAGCTGGTACAGCGCCGCACCGTTAGACCGCGAAGTCTTGAATGAAGCGACTGTAGTAATTAACCGCTCCAAGAAACGACTACATGCCCTTCTTACTCGTTGGAAACGAATGCTCGGTGATGGCCGCAAGCTTCTTGGGGTCAGCCCTGATACCTTCTGGCGAAATTTTATGCGACAGAAAGTCCACCTTGGGTTGGCAGAAGATGCTCTTGGTGAAGCTAATGCTGATCCGACACTGTGCAAATCTTGCTACCAATCGGTCCAGCGTCGCCAGGCAGCTGTCGAAATCCTCGCCACCGAAGCAAATATCATCCACAAACGACCGTCGACCAAACACAGGTACCAGCGATGATTCGTCCGGTTCCCCGTTCGTAAACATGTCAGCGACGGGGCTGTTGACGAGTTGTAGTACAGGGTCGGTCTCTACCGGTGCTTCGCGGTCTGCCGCGAACTTCGTTTGAAGCGAACCCTCGGCGCTTGGCCCACGACGTTCTTTGGCCTGTTCTTCAGCTAAACGCATCTTCTCCGAGTATTCAAACCAACCTCCTTTAGGCTGAACGAACCCCCAGAGTGCGTTGTCAATCATACGCTGATAGATCATCGGCGCGTTCTTTAGCCCGAAGGGCATGCGTAACCACTCGAAATGTCCGAGTGCGCAGACAACCGCCGATACTTTACGTGCTCGCAAGGTCATCATGACCGCCCAGAAGCCGCTTGCTGCATCCAGCGAGCAGAATCATAGGTAGCGCTCGCGATCTGCTAACAGGTCGTCGACTAGCGGCATTGCATACTCCATGATCGCGGTGATAGCATTCACCATCTTGTAATCAATGCAGAACCGGATGTCCAGCCCGTTTTTTTTTTATCACAATCACGATCGGCGATGCCCATGGACTGTCTGAAAAGACGATCAGTCCTGCTCGCAACAGAGCGCGCAGCAGCTCGTACAGTTTGCCGAGAAATCGTAGCGGCACGCGCCGGGCACGCTGTTTAATTGGGGCACCTTGAACAAGAAGCTGGCTCGCGAACGCGAAGTGTACAAGCCTTCTATTGGCGCGAACACCGAGCAGACTCATCGCTTTTTGGTCAAGCTTTCGAGGGAAAATTTATCGACAACGATACGCTCAAGATCCTCAAAATTCATCAAACCCGCGACACCCACCTTCTCCAAGTCAACCGTACACTCCGTGCACACGTGAGTTTGGCCGGAATGGATCCAGAGGTCCAGCGTCTGACTTTTGATGGTATGTTCCACATGTTGTTCTTTCCACCGTGGGTTCAGCGACTTAAGTTCATTCACAATCTCCTGTGACAGGTCTCACCGCGGGCGATCTGGATCTGGCCGCTCTGGACTTGGACCAGGAGACATAGGTTGCGTTGCAACGCATACAGTCTGCTGCCGCGTCTCCGCATGACCCCCAATCTCTTCCTGCGGCTCTGGCGCAGGCTGCTCACCAAGTGGTTCATGGAAAGCTCTACAAGCGTCTTTGACCAGGTGGCAAGGAGTCGGACGTCGAGTCGGACGATTTCGACGAAGATAAGGCTCTCATTCCGACTGACAAGGCCAGTACATCTATGGCAGCTGCTGATCTCGGTGATGCGCCACCTGCTGACTCTTCAACCACCAATTCTGCACGTCGTTCGCTGCTCAGCCCGAAGGCATGGAAGCAAGCGGATCCGAAGAAACGCCAGAAGAATCGCCTTCGTTCTCCTGGCAAGTCACCTCGACCGTCATTCGAAGACTCAGTCGCAGTCTGCGCCGTCGTCTCCTCGTTCATGGTCGCCACCTCGCAAGCCAGTGTCATACTCGACTCCCGCCGTTGTAGACATCAGTGGTGACCAGCGTGACGTGGAAATGGTTGAGGTTGGTTCAAGTGAGATTCCATCGGCTCAAGGTACTACCATCGAGTCTTCGGGTAAAAAGGTGGGCTCAGGGGCTCACGACGATGTCTTCAAACCATCTGACGCGGCTACGTCTCCAACTCAGGGTGGTCAAGCCATAAGCGTCGACGATCTCTCCTCTCCAGCGGACATACGCGCTGCCGAAGAGGACTTGCGTGAGGCCGAGGCTTTTCGGCTCATGCTCGGTTCGGGTGACGAAAATGATGAGTCGGATAGCACCGTCCCATCCGGCAAGGCTGCATCGTCGTCTGCTGCGCCTTCTAAGACGGTTGAAGTCTCGGAAGTAGTTTCTACCGCAGGGCTTGCCCTTGTTGAAGCTGCTCCACAAGCCTCCGAGTCTTAAAAGCCGGCTCCGACTGTTCCAACGGCCGCTGCGCCAAGTGTCTCTTCGACTGATTTTCCGATGGAGAGTGATGACGATGGCAATGGTGATAATGATCGTGGAGATGACGTGGATGATGATGAACTTTCGGTGGGTAATTCTCCTTATGATACAAGTGGTGACGGTGATGTTCTGCCACCTACCGAGCATTCCGTCCAGCTGACGGCGACGACGCTGAAGGCTCCGGCGGCAACTGGAGCGGTCTTGGCCCTGCTCGGCTTCCGACCCCTCCTCGGCCAAATCCTTCGCCGATGGTAACCTCTCCGATCATAATCGGCGGTCCATCGCCTCCGTCATCGCCAAGTTCATAAGCGCCGCCATCTTCTCCTTCTGTTCAGACGTCTCATCGCCCGTTTTCTTGAACGCTCGATGCCGGGCGCAAGATTACGGCCACCTACACTTCGGTACCGCGTCGGGGCAGTAAACCGTCGGTTGAGCGGTTGCCTCACCGTGTGCTGCCTCACCTTGTGTTGCATGGAGCTCGCCCTATCGTGCCGGCTTCATCCACCTTGCCACCGTGGTTCTCCCGTATCTGGGCATGGGGTTCGCCGATGCGGGTACCAAGAAGTGTTTCTAGCGTCTTTTGAGCATCCCACTATCGGAACCGGCCGGTGAAGTAATCATCCGTACGACGTTGGAAGGCCTCCAAGCGTACTTCGACTACACGAATCCGGATCATCCGTATCAGCCACTCCGACGGCTCTATCCCCTCCAGCCGTGTCTCTTTGACACCCCCGGTTTCGACCCAAGCCTCTTCTTCTCCAAGCGTTCCCCAATCGAGACCCATCTCAAGGTGATCTGGGCGAATCTTCGGAATGATGGCGGCAAGCAGGGTGACCTCGGGTCCACGTTATGGGAGTGTTTCCACTGGCTTCCGTTGTCTGGCATTGAGCGCGGGCTCATCGAGAAACCCAAGAAGGCCCCCCATGACAAGAAGCTCTTGAAGATACTGAGAGCTCTGTTGAAGAAGCTCTTCAGTGAGCGCGACCTTTGTGCCAATCGTCTCCTCAACAAGTACCGCGAGCCGTACATGGCGTGGGGTCGTGACTCGGTTTCCTCCGGTTCCTCTGATCCGCCGTTCATTCGCCCCGAGCTGCTTTTATAGCCGTCGAAGCCGTGGTACCCCATTGAAAACTTGTCGTTCGCTCCTCGGACTTCTGACTGGCTTTCCGAAGTTCCGACTCTCGACGTTCGTCAGCCCTGGCGTACTGGATGGATGAACGCGCCGCACCAGCACCCGTACAATAATACGTACTTCCCGTGCCAGTACAGTCCGGAGCTCTTCGATCCCCGCCCTACGCGCTTCGCGGATCTTTACCGCAGCGTGGTCGTCGATCTGGCCCTGGCTCCACCTGCGCTTATCCCGGCTTGGCGCGACTTGTTTGACTCGCCACCGGTTACTCCGCGTCCTGCTCTGACTGCTGCTGCTGCTGAGGGCTCGCATGCTCCGTCTGCGGCTTCAGCCGCCGAGGTTCATCTTCCCGACGAAGAGGAGAAGAATAGTGAGGACTCGACTTCGTTGACGCTCTTGGCCGCTGCTGCCAGGCAATTGGAGTCGCTTTGAATCTTCGCTGCATGTTCCACAACGTTCTCCGACGTTTTTAGTTAGCGGTTGAGGGGTCCAGCGAGGTTTCGTTTTCAGTGGTCGCCCTTTTGTCGGCATAAATGTCTTCTTATTCTTAATCCACTTCCACAGCGTAATCATGTTCATGTTGTTCCTCCAATGCATATACAAGCTGTTGGATAAAATACTCGCTAAGAAACCCCTTGCCCGTTGGCTTGACAAGAAAACGCTGGTCGAAGTCCTCAACGGAAATTTTGCGCACAAGAAGAAAGTGTTTGAAGGATGGAGCGCCGACAAAAGAACCTCTGGACATGTAAAGCGACTCATTAGATCGGACCCAGCCATTGAGAAGAAGTACAGGTCTGTTTACAAGACGTATGGCGAATATCTCTCGATGATTTACCGCAAGAAGAACCGGGCGAAACAGCTTGCTGGCAACAAATAAACATTATTAATGTGAATCGGATGGCAAACGTGTCTTTGTTGCCCTTGTCTGAGAGTGAGTAAAAACCTTAGAGTATTCCTTCAGTGTGTATAATTTAGGGGAGGTTACTCAGTTCACCATCTTTCGGGTACCAACATATGTGCTCAAACTCAAATCTTTCACCACGAAGGTTCATGATCGGTCGATAGTGCCACACCGCAGACCGAAGCCCGCAGCATTTCCTACCTCAGACAACTTACGCTGCCCTTCACTTTCATTTCGCGCTGGGGTTTCCACACCCTAACACTTGCACACATGTTAGACTCCTTGGTCCGTGTTTCAAGACGGGTCAAATCGCTCCATTTCGTCAACGTCCCGAACGGCAACAAGTTAAAACCCACATCAATCCACACACAACCACACACGCATAGCAAGCTATCCGCACACGGCGCACACAGAGACACAGGCCCACTCAAAAACACGTTGTAGGCACCTCAGTCCCAACCGCGACTACTCGTCCACCAAGATATAACAGACAAACGCAAGCGTAAGCCCTACCTCCTCGGCGGCCATTTCCCGCAGCATACGAACTGACCTTGACGTCCCACCGCAGCACAGGGCACCAGCAAGCACACACAGCACACACGCCGAGCGCAGCCAAAAAAGCCGCTGCCACAGCACACGCACGCACACACTCGCCAATGAAATATACCACGGATTATAGACACTGGAAACGATTCGGTTCCCTTTCAGCAGTTTCAGGTACTCTTTAACTCTCTTTTCAAAGTTCTTTTCATCTTTCCCTCACGGTACTTGTTCGCTATCGGTCTCGCACCAATATTTAGCTTTAGATGGAATTTACCACCTACTTTGCGCTGCATTCCCAAACAACGCGACTCAAAGAAAACGGATCGTACGCACGAGCAACTCAGGGATGAACGGGAGTATCACCCTCCATGCTGTCCTCTTCCAAGGAACTTGCCCCAAGCGCCCACACTGATCACGCCTCTATAGACTACAATTCGCCGCGCAAAACTTGCACGGAGATTTTAAGCTTGAGCTCTTCCCGCTTCACTCGCCGTTACTAGGGGAATCCTTGTTAGTTTCTTTTCCTCCGCTTATTAATATGCTTAAGTTCAGCGGGTAATCTTGCCTGATATCAGGTCCAATTGAGATGCATACCGAAGTACACAACATTTCCCAAATGGATCGACCCTCGGCAGCCGAAGCCGCCACTCTACTTCGCAACAGCAAAGCCGATTCAAATGCCAAGCTAAAGAGCCATGGTTCACCAGTCCATCACGCCACAGCAGGAAAATCACCCAATAAGCGCATTGTTCAGCCGAAGCCAACCATACCACGAATCGAGCATTTCTCCATTAACGCCGCAGCAGACAAACCGGTCGCCAACTCGCTACAATAGCAGCGTCCACAACCAGCAATGCCACCACTTTTGGAGCAAAGAGAAGTACAGTTTAGTACATTTAAAAGGACTCGCAGTCGGTCCGAAAACCAACCGCAAGACACTTCACATCTGGCATCTCCTCCACCGACTACACGGAAGGAAGAAAGCCAAGTTTGTTGTACGGACACTGATACAGGCATACTTCCAGGACTAACCCGGAAGTGCAATATGCGTTCAAAATTTCGATGACTCACTGAATCCTGCAATTCGCATTACGTATCGCAGTTCGCAGCGTTCTTCATCGATGTGCGAGCCTAGACATCCACTGCTGAAAGTTGCTATCTAGTTAAAAGCAGAGACTTTCGTCCCCACAGTATAATCAGTATTAAGTAAAGGGTT